TTGGTATAAGCTGTGGTTTCCATCACGGAGTTAGCGTACCATAGCATTTCGTGGTATTTGGGATGTAAAGGAAGCGATTCTGACCGACGCTCTGCAAACGTTTAAACTAAAATGCCGAGATTAGAAAAAAAAAGACAGCGATTTGAATTTCTAAGGCGGTGCATGGGTCCCGACACTCTCCCCCGCTGAACAAGCGCTGAAGACCTAGAGACCGCGGTCATCATCGCAAGCAGAGCTCCGCGCACATTCTGCGTCCGGCTTGTGTGGACTTGTCCAAAAACCTTTCCACCACCGGTGGTGTGAAGTTATGACCTTGGCGAGGACTCGCACAGAAACTGTTCAAAACCGGCAGAAATCAATTCGAATGCGTCACAACTAGAGCCCAAATACCAGGACGCTCTTCCGAAAGATGAGCGAGTACGTGCCTAACAGTGCTCGCTTAGCTGTCACGGTATCTTGGCCCCTGCTTGCTTTAAAACATTAAGAGCACAAACTGCTAACAGGGATTTACAGAATCCGTTTATCTCTCTAATGCATCAGCTAGTAGCCTTAGTAGAAATAATTATAAGATTAAACGAAGCAGAGGCGAAATTAAATTAGCCAGATCTTCGCTGCAGTTTAACAGGAATCCAAACACATCAGCAGTCGTGCAACAGAACTGCCAATCTTCAAGCGCAGTATTTCGAAACCTGCTATGTTATTGACACGCTGCCGTATTTTTTTCGTCTCCTGCGCCGATGTTCTACTTAAATATTTTCATCTAATTGTGTATATATATATAAATAAAAAAAACTCTTGGCCTAATAAACGCCCTTGACTATAGCTCCGAATTTGCAGAGTGGCGGGCTGTAATATTTTATACGAATTTCTAATTACGTGGTAGCCATGATTCGCTCATCAATGTCTCGGGGTACTAATGGTTCCTTAACGCGTTAATGTATAAAAGATTAAAGATCAGATAAATGCTAATTAGAACACAGTCTTATTTAGCAATTAGCAGTAATAAAACAGTGTAATAAGGTGAACATTTATAGGTTGTTGATACCAAATGCAGGGCTAGGAATGCGTTTTAAAGAGGTGTGCAGCAAAAATGCTTCCGTACTTTAATGAAACGGCAGTAAACGGCTAACTGGCGACCTGGGCTTGATTGAGGTGATGCGGCTCGCTGGCGTTAATCACCAGCTCGCAGTGCTACAGTACGGATAAACAAATCACTGACAAAAGTACTGCTTGGTATCGGATACACGTTGACAGAAATACTGTATTTATAATGTATTATTCATTTTGCATTATTTTAGGAAGGGATGGGCTTAGTCTTCACAGCCACGTCTGGCAAGGACAAGCTGAACAAGCAACAGCTCGGTCCCCCTCACTGGGAATAACTGGTAGCTGGAAAAGCGAGATAGTGCGCCATTCACTCCAGCCAGCCCCCATAGGACAACAAAGCCTTTTTACCATTGTAGTTTGGACGCAAAAGAAATTTGACCAAGGGATCAAAAATGTACATAAAAAACGCCGCTTCTCCGTATTGTGCCATGTCGGTTGTCTTTTAAACTCTTCTCAGGGCTATGAGCAGAGCCTTAAGGCTCCAGTTTTGCTCGGCCGCGATTAAAATTCTCTCGCCTTATTTATATTGTTAAGACTTATGTTATAAAGTCTGTCTATAAGTCCAAGTCGTCTTTTCTCGCTCACGAACAGGTGAATATTAACGCCTGTCACGGCATAAATCGCGATGCGAAAATTAAAATGCGTGATTGACGAAACAGGCCTTACAGAACTGTTTGCCAATTTTAGGTTGTACACGCTGTTTGTCAGAAGCAATGTGTGATATACATGCAACTCGTATCTCCTTCGAGGGTGAACATTCAATGCATGCGTTATGCATTTACAGCATATTATGTATATACACTTATATGTGGATGTATGTATCATAATGTTTAGGCTCGGAGATTTCATGAATAGAAAATATGGGGTCTGATTGTTTTTGTTAGCACGTGATAATAAGATTTAGTAAAAGTCTGGACATTGATTTATGTTTTAGCTTGTAACCGGCCCATTTTCTCTCCTTCGCCCCTTGTAGTTTCCACTTTTTAAGAAATATATTTTTCTTACGTAACAAAATACACGGGTGCTCTGGTAGAAATCGTCAATAGGACATCGGACCTGATTACATCTTTTCCTTCTTAGGAGAACTAATAAAACATGGTATATGTTACACAACATGTTACATGTGCATGTACAGTTCCCAGCTGACGGATTCCTTTTCGTATACACTCACGATTACCATCACGCCAAAGATCCCCATTAATGTAAAAAAAAAGCACAGTACACCGATATAAATGCCCTTATAAATATGAATCAGCTGTATCTAGCAAAAGTGGCGTGCCCGTGTCCTTGGGCTGTGACCGCCGTGCTGGCAGAGGGGTCTGACTCAGCTGTTTCAGGACCGCGTGGCCAGTCTTTTCTGCATTGTCCGGGCGCGAGCCTCTCTAGGCCTTTCCCCGCAGCGCGCTGTCAAGGTCTTCGTCACTGTGTCACTGAAAGGCGATGTGGTTTAAACCGTGCGACTGGAAACGACCCGCAAACCCTTGCTTCACACTTCATTAGGCTCAAAGGAAGGATGGGGGATATTTTTAAACAATTTATTTATTTTTTGGGGGGTATTTTCTTTGGATTGCCCGATTGTTTCTCGCACCTTGTGACGCTGTTACGGTTCAGTTACAGCATGTTTTTAAATGGGACTGCACAGAGGTCATTTCGGACAATCAAAATACAGTAGCTTGTTTTTTTGTCGTTGTAACGCTGAGCCTTGCGGATAAATGAAACGGTGTGTGTAAAACACGCGTTTATTCTTTTCCTCATTGATGGGGAGTCGAGCTCCGGACGGAGGCGACAGTCGGAGCTTAAACTGTAACTTGTTAACAAAACATATACTATTCAGAGACACCGTGTTTTTCGAATACAGCAGTATTAGATCGAATTGTTCAGTGGGATTTCAGCGCACTTAAGGCCTATGGAGAAACAGCAGAACCTTTTTTATATTTATATAGAATCTGTGCAGGGGTTGCAGCCTCTGTTCTCAGTCTGATAACATAAAAATATTTTTGTATCACAGAAATAAGCGGGTGTGTTGGGTATCCAGCTGAAAATTGTAAAATTGAAAAAGCCGCGGATTAAAAACGAGTTTTTATGGGTTTCTCGCCTGCGGTCATGTTTAAGTACAGAAGAATATTTCGATGTCGTTACCCGCTCGCCCAACCCGTCTTAAACAGAGCTTTACACGTTCGTCTTAGACATTTGTTTCTAGCCGATAGCACGCCTTTTGTACGAGTTTTCCGCCAGGCTCGGGAGCAGACAAAAGGATTCAATTATTTTCCATGCTGACAGAATAAAGCTCAGTCCACCCATTAATTAATTGACGAAGGAGACCGCGGCTCAAGAGCGCTCCTGCAATCCGGTTTCACTGACCGCCAGAGGCGCCTCCCTCGTTATGTCCTCGAAAGGTACCGGAGCTCAAGGACAGTGCCGACACGCCCAGATCTTTCCAGCGCAGGGAAGAAGTGAAAGCATCAGGGGTGTTCTGCCTTTTGTGCCTAAAGAATGTTTCTTTCCATCAGTTAGCAGCGGGACCCTGAACATTTCTATTTCTCGAACCCCTGGTGTATGGGGTCCAGAGCCCTCTCCCCCCGGAGTGTACCAAGAATCTTCAAAGGCACTTCTATGTTCAATACATCAGCGCAACACAGCATCTGTATGGGTGGATGCTTCGCACAAAGTACAGTAGGTACGAAGGGGACTAAGTGCCCGTCTCCGGCATCTCCTAACAGCGTTCTGAAATTTCCAGCCTATTTACTCAGCCGCATCGCAACTAGAACCCTAAGGAATTTCTTCTTGCTTTGGATTCGGTGCAAAAGTCAAGGAAGCGTAATTTTCCTCTGTCGCTCTTGCTC